TCTCCCTGCACTCTTTTGAGGTCTTTTCATCTCTTCCTGGAATGACCAGTAACAGTAAAGCTGTAGAGAAGGGGATGTGGGTGATCAGCCGTTTGGACGTAGATACCCAACGGAGAAGAAACAAACCAGCAAAAAAGTTAAATTGCCCGATTAAATTACCAATTTTTTTTCTTCTCTTTCACTGTCCTGTGCTTCATAATAGGATTTCCGTCTACTTTAAATTTGACACACTGTAGTGAAATTCTTCCACCCTATTATAGACAGTGTTGAATCATAAAAGATTCAATTAACCCAGAAATAATCAGTGACATAAATGGATCTATTAGAATTTACAGAATGATCAAACAAGCCAACCAGTCAGTGTATTTTCACATTGTTTGCCTTTCCACCCAACATTGTGAAGCATTAATTTATTTTCAATATCTGAAAATGTTGATTTCATTTCTCTGTTTCCTTATTCCAGTTGCCCTGGGCTCTATGCTAATGCACCGACATAAGACAGATTCTTAATTTTCTGAACTTGCTTCCCTTTCTGCTTAGCTCCTTTTCTTATATACATATTAATAATTTATGTTAATGGAGTTATTGTATTGCACTTGCCCTAATTCTACTACATGGATACCTAAGCAGTGCACTTACCTTGGCATTTTGGTCAACTAAAATTTATAATGAACTATTAGGTGAGTTGATTACACATTATTGCACAAATTATTGGCAGCATTAATAGAAAAAAATATATAAGAAAATAATCAGGTCAGGCACAATGGCTCACTCCTGTAATTCTAGCACTTTGGAAGGTCAAGACAGGAAGATTGCTTGAGCCCAGGAGTTCAGGAGCAGCCTGGCCAACATAGCAAGACCCTATCTCTACAGAAAAATTAAAAAGGTAGCTGGGCATGATGGTATGCACCTGTAGTCCCAGCTACTCAGGAGGCAGAGGTGGGAGGATCGCCTGAGCAAGGAGGTCAAGGCTGCAGTGAGCCATGATCACACCACTGCATTCTAGCCTGGGTGACAAGAGTGTGATCCTGTCTGAAAATATAAATAAAAAGAAAATAATGACCCTAGTCTTGGCAGACTGAAGAAAGAGTTCTTAGATCAAAAAAGTAAAATCACTTCTAGATTTAAAAAGAGAGAGAGAGAGAACTAGAGTGAGTACATGTAAGTTTGTTGCGCAAGAGCGGATTTTACCAGCTGTTACATTCATCCTTGTTAAGTTTCACCTTATTCCTTTGGGCAGATATTCCAATCTTTCATGATCTGTGATGAATTATGACATAAGATTTGATCCCTTTTAAGCTTACTTTGTCATTTGAAAATTCAATATATTTGTTCTAGTTGTTGATATAATAACCACCTTCCTCCAGGTTGAACCTATACATTTTTTGGGTGCTGTTGTTTAGAAGTCATCTATTTTATTTAGTTTATATTTCTTCATCTTGTTTACAATAACTTATAAAGATTTTTATAACATATTTTACTGAATTTAGGATAACTGTGCCTGCAACTATTTTTTAGGATAACTATCTTCCTGATCCTCTAGTAGAAGAGCCTTAAAAGATAAATTAGTTTGTAGCTCTGCCTTCTTCATATACAGAAGCTGTGTAAAGATATGTTTTTGTCCATGAAATTTATCAGAGCATTGTTAAATACCCTGGCGCTCTTGTGTAATTCTTACTTGTGCTTCTTTTATTACTGTCTTCCTTTTTTAAAAAAATCAGCTTTATTGATATGTAATTTATGTACTATAAAGGTTACCCATTTAGAAAGTACAGTTCAGTGGTTATTAATATATACACAGTTGTGTAACCATTGCCATTTTTATCACTACAAAAGAAACTTGGTCTTATACCTGTATATTCTCTCACTCTCTCTTTCTTTTTCTGTTTCATCAAAAAGCGATTTTGCTTTTGTTTTCTAAGGAAGTCTTCCTTCAGAAGCTTCCTTTTCTTTAGGGATTTCCCATTCTATTTCTTTATATCTTGTGTTTATAAGCCTGGAATTTCATTCTTCCCTTATATATATGAAAAAAAGATAACATTAGAAAAATAGATACTGGGGCATAATATGAAGTAGCTGTCACTTATTTAGTGCTGTCATTTTCATAGATTTAAAGTACATATGGGCCAAGTACAGTAGCTCACGTCTGTAATCCAGGCCCTTTGGGAGGCTGAGACAGGAGGATCGCTTGAGTCCAGGAGTTTGAGAGCAGCCTGGGCAACAAAAGGGAGACTCTGTCTCTACAAAAAGTAAATAAATACATAAATAAATGCCAAGTGTAGTGGTGTACGTTTGTGGTCCCAGCACCTCAGGAGGCTGAGGCAGGAGGAGGATCTCTTGAGCTCAGGAGTTGGAGGCTGCAGTGAGTTTTGATTGTGTCTCAGTACTCCAACTTGGATAACAGAGTGAGACCCTAACTCAAATAAAGTACATATGCTCTTATTCAGGATTGCTTTCATTGGCTAGTGGAGACTGTAAAAGTATTTAATTTAGATTGAATTTAGGACTGAATGACAGTATCAATAATTTATGTTTCTTTCTTTTTTTTTTTTTTTTTGAGACTGATTCTGTCACCCAGGCTGGAGTGCAGTGGTGTGATCTCAGCTCACTGCAACCTCTGCCTCCCAGGTTCAAGTGATTCTCCTGCCTCAGCCTCCCAGATAGCTGGGATTACAGGTGCCCACCACCACGCCTGGCTCACTTTTTATATTTTTAGTAGAGACAGGGTTTCTCCATGTTGGCAAGGCTGGTCTCGAACTCCTGACCTCAAATGATCCACCCACCTCGGCCTCTCAAAGTGCTGGGATTATGGGCATGGACCAGGTTCAGGTAACAGCATTTTTCAAGAAACTTTTAAGTTTATTCTTTACTGTGAATGAAGATCATTTAAGAGTACAATTTCTAATTTTAGCTTTCTTTCATGATCTTCTTTCTTATCTCTAGTCACATTAAAGTTAGGATACATAGTTCAGTGATTAACTAGGAGGATAAAAGTATTTATGAATCCAGTAAGCAGTTAACCGGAAGTATTGTCTCTTACCATGGATAAAATGTCTTATGGTGCTACCTTTGTATTTTAAAGTACTCATGCAGATAATTAATAATCTCAAATACTGGAATGTGGGGTTTCTTGGAATACTAGGCAAGTCCCTTAAAACTTGGTATCTCAGTTCTTTTGAAAATAAGTATATGCCTCTAATCGGTCTTTTGAAGTTCCTTCTAACATTGATTCTGCTACCTTTAGAGGATATTTTGGAATTATTTATGTATGGAACTATACAATAAGGGATTTTTTTTTTTTTTTTGAGACAGAGTCTCGCTCTGTTGCCAAGCTGGAGTGCAGTGGCACGATCTTGGCTCACTGCAACCTTCACCTCCCAGGTTCAAGTGATTCTCCTGCCTCAGCCTCCCAAGTATCTGGGAGTACAGGCATGTGCCACCACACCCAGCTAATTTTTGTATTTTTAGTAGTCGGGATTTCACCATGTTGGCCAGCATGGCCTTGGTCTCTTGACCTCACGATCCATCCGTCTCAGCTTTCCAGAGTGCTGGGATTACAGGTGTGAGCCACCATGCCTGGCCATGATAAGGGATTTTTTTTTAAAGTAATAGAGATAATTTTATGTGCAATTAAAGTATTATAAAGTACTTCAGAAAGATACAGGATTCTTTAATCTGGAATACAGAAGTAATTATAACCTAATATAGGTATTGATGCATTATGCAGTTTGATTTAAGAGTTTCCTTTACCTTTGCCTTTCCAGGGTTGGAGATGCCTCAGAGAGTAAGAAGTATTTGCATGAGCCATAGCATTCCTTATTTTTTTTTCTCTTTTTTTTTTTATAGACGGAGTCTTGCTCTGTCGCCAGGCTGGAGTACAGTGGTGGGAATTCGGCTCACTGCGACCTCCACCTCCCGAGTTCAAGTGATTCTTCTGCTTTAGTCTCCTGAGTAGCTGGGAATATAGGCACGTGCCACCATGCCCAGCTAATTTTTGTATTTTTAGTAGAGATGGGGTTTCACCATATTGGCCAGGATGGTTTCGATCTCTTGACCTCATGATCTGCCCGCCTTGGCCTCCCAAAGTGCTAGGATTACAGGTGTGAGCCACCACCAGGCCTTTTTTTATTTTTTAAGCTTCAGTCCACAGAGTTATTCTTTGATGAGATTGTTTTATTTTAATAATTGGGAAAAATGAATTATGATAGTGTTGAATTAAAATATTTGCTCAAGGGCGTTGGGTAAAAGAACAGGACTATACTAATTGACTGGAGAAGCCAATTTAAAGCTGATACACAGTAGTATATGCTATCTGATATGTAAAGGATGATAAATTTTACTTGTACTACTACAAAGGAAGATATTGGACCATCTTGTGTTATTTAGCATTTCTCCCATTCCTTCTACTTTTATCCAATTTTCAATTGTAATAACTGTTTCTGGAGACTATCTTGAACATAAGGAATAAAGCCAAGAAGAAAACAGGGTCAGAACTAATGGGAAATTCATTCTTCAGTTCAATAAGATTATATAATAAAAGAAAAAAATATATCACTTTTTTTTTTTTTTTTGAAACAGGGTCTTACTCTGTCACCCAGGCTAGAGTGCAGTGACACAGTCATGGCTCACTGTAGCCTTGACCTCAAGCAATTTTCCTACCTGAGCCTCCCAAATAGTTGGGGGTACAGGTGTGTACCATCATGCCTGGCTAATTTTTTGAAAAAAATTTTGTAGAGATGGTGTCACTATGTTGCCCAGACTTGTCTTGAATTCCTGGCCTCAAGCAATCCTCTCACCTTAGCTTCCCAAAGTGGTGATTACAAGTGTGAGCCACTGTGTCCAGCTGCTAATAACTCTTCACATTAGTTATGTGGGATTGGTTTTGAATAATACAGTTCTCTTCATGAGAGAAAAGATATACTCATTTTGTGCCTATAGTACATTGTTGACTGAATCTCTTTTAAAAATTGTTTTCTCTTCTCATTCCCATCCCCCTACAGAATCTGTCTATGATCTTCTCCCAAAGGAGTTACAATTACCTCCATCTAGAGAAACATCTGTAGCATCAATGAGTCAGACAAGCGGTGGTGAGGCAGGCTCGCCTCCTCCAGCTGTTGTTGCTGCTGGTATGCATTTCATTTTATTTTATTAAAAAAAACTAGGGACAACATGAAATCTGGCCAACATGAACAGTGCTGGCAAAATTCATATTAAAAAGTGTGGTTTGAGGGTTTTAAAAGAGGCATTAAAATACGTACTTTTAACCTTAAACTTTTTCAATATGATTTTCTTGTTGTAATTTTTATTTTTAAAAATTTTACATTATCACATCTGTAAGTGCCATTAAAATGGACCTTGTTTTTAAATATGGGAACCAGCTTAAAGTTGTTATGTTGACTGTACTTTAAAAAGGTTAAATAGCAAGCTGTGAATAGAAAATTATATTTGAGTTCCTATTTAATAATTAATTTTAAAGACTTCCTCCAAGGGAGAATATCGTATATGATCTGGAAAAATGACTGAAGCACTTAAGTGACTTTTATATTCATAGCGTGTTACTGAAACCTTTTTCTTATATTTAAAAATATATGTGACTTCATATTTATTGAAAGTAAGGAGTATTTCTATATAATATTTATATAAAGACATTTCTTATATTAATGAAAAAGTATAGAAAGTAATATAAGAAATTTATTAGATTTATTTTTACTCAGCTCTCAAATTATACACTTAATAATGATCCAGTTGGCTCAAATTTTTATTTTACATAAAGAATTTTATATAAGAATAAAAGATTTTACATAAATAAAATACATTTATTTTATTTTACATAAGAATAAAAGATTGACAAATTAATAGAAAAAAGTCTTATCAGTGACAAATTAGTATCAGTGCTTTCTGTAATACTAGTTTGCCCAACTAATATTGGGCTTATAGACTGCTAAGGATGTTTGCTTTAAAAAAAGGAAATATATATATATAGATAGATAGATAGATAGATAGATACATATATATTGAAGTTTTATCTGTCCTAATTAGAAGTTTCTTGCCTAATACAACACCTCTCATCTTTTAAAATGGTATTTAAAGTTTATCAGAGCATTGTTTTCAGTAAAGTAGTTTCAAAATGAGAACAGTGAGGTGTAAGGTGGTTAAATGAGGATATTGGTACTATAGTATAACTTCAGATATATTTCTCATATGCATTAACCTATGTACCATTAACCTTGTGTACCAGTCTTTCTCAAGCTGTATATATAGTGCATTATTGAAGCCTTCCTAGTTGAAGGCAGGAAAACTTTAAATATGGCAAAGAAACTGATCAGCCCTGCTCACTGTTCATGTGTTGCCAGACATTTTCTAACAGTTTCTGTGGATTTAATTGTGAATTAGTGAACTTTTTAGTAATCAAATTGATAAGATGACCTAATTTGCTTTATATCCACTGGGTTCTAAAATGGCTATGATGATTTTTTCTGGAATTTTAAGTTTTAAATCTGCTTTTAAAATTGTATTCAATAATAAAACATGACAAAGATAAAACATTTTTATGAGAGACTTCACTTTAAATCCACAAGTAGAAGTTGAGTAATTGATTTCTTTTGTATCTTTTGAGATTGTTTTTTAAAGATGTGTTGAATCTATATAGAACTAAAAGTCTCTTCCTTATGTGCTTTTTAACATCTGTTGACAGTAGATCCAGTTCCTTTTAAAAGCTGAAAAAAAATGTTAGGTTTAGAAAAAAAATTCTTCGTTTTAAATAATACCAAATTCAATTTTAGAAATTCATATATATATGTAGTTATTGAATTTGGGTCACTAATGAAACATTAACCTTCCCCCACCCCAGTATATTTGAGAAAATCTCTCAAGATAAATTACATTGAAAACTTTGAATTGAAAAATCATGAAAATAAGAAATTTAATCAAAGGAAATATTTTGAAGTCATACATTCTTAATTATCTCGAAATTATTGACATTATAAAGATCACAGAAAGAATAAGAATATAGAAAAAGAATAAGAATTATAGTTTTGTTATAGTCACACACGAAGTGTCTGTGATCATTAACAAGTCATTTATAATCTTTTAAAAAAACTTTAGCAACCAACTTAGATTATTCTAGGATTCTAACATCTTAGAAAGAGTACTTTATACCTTATTATAGATAAGAGAGTTTAAATCAGAGAATAATTATTGTAGGGAATCGGTATATATCATTAGAATTATATTTTTATTTGACATTTTAATATTCTTGGTGATAAAACTGTCAAAGAGAGATATTTGGAATATATTACCAAGTTACTCAATGTTTTTCTAGTCAAAAGGCTGGTAGATGTCTAGGGAAAGGCACATTAATTTAGACTTGCATGGTTTTTTCAAAAAAAACCTTTAGCATTTTTGAAAGAATATGGGTTGGGCACGGTGGCTCACACCTGTAATCTCAGCACTTTGGGAGGTCAGGTGGGCAGATCACCTGGGGTCAGGAGTTTGAGACTAGCCTGACCAACATGGCAAAACCTCGTTTCTAATAAAAATAGAAAAAATTTGCCAGGTGTGGTGGCAGGTGCCTGTAATCCCACCTACTCCAGAGGCTGAGACAGGAGAATTGCTTGAACCTGGGAGGTGGAGGCTGCAGTGAGCTGAGACAGCAACATTGCACTCTGGCCTGGGCAACAAGAGCAAAAGTTCGTCTTAAAAAAAAAAAAAGAAAGTAACGAAAAAAATATGAAATGTATAAAAACATTGACTCTTGATATAGTTAATTCTTCAGAGTTTTAAAGGAGCCGGATTGGCTGCTCTCAGGTATGAGGGCCTGGTGGGAACAGACTTCTAGTTCTGCCATAAAGGTTTGTGTTTGACAAGTTTTAAATTATTTAAAATTTAAAGACTGGGCATATGAGTGTTCATGGACATTTTTGTTGTTGAATTGTTTAAAATGTGTTTCTCAGATTCACCAATCTAGATTTTTTTCCTCTTCATGTAACTGAGGGAATAAGTAAACATGATGCTGCTAATCCACAATCCAGAATATTGGGTAAAAAAGAGTGTCTTTCAAACCTTTATCTGCTTCTACACTCTTCACACTTTTACGCGCTCCCATCAATAATATATTTTGATCCTCTAATCCCTGGGTCAAGATGTAGGGGAAAGGGGCTTATTTAGACACAGTTTCTCCCCACTTCATGGGGCCAAGTGTTAGAATCTGGGAGGTATAGTTCAGAGTCACCAATCTGAGATTTGTTGTCCTTCCCAATTTTTTAAGAGGTATGTTCTAGCTCTGTCACTCATGCTAGAGTGCAAGCTGCAGTCATAGTTCACTGCAGCCTTCAACTACCGGGCTCAAGTAGCCTCCGGCCTCAGCTGGGAAATAAGTGCACACCACCACACTTGGCTAATTTTTTTTACAGACAGGGTCTATCACCCAGGCTAGATGCAGTGGTGTGACCTTGACTAGCTGTAGCCTCAACCCCCTGGGCTCAAGTGATCCTCCCACCTCAGTCTCCTGAGTAGCTGGGATCACAGGCATATACCACCACATGGACCTGGTTTATTTTATTTTATTTTTTGAGACAGTCTCATTGTGTCGCCCAGTCTGGAGTACAGTGGTGTGATCTCAGTTCACTGCAACCTCCACCTCCCAGGTTCAAGCGATTCTCCTGCCACAGCCCCTGGCATTATAGGTACACGCCACCATGCCCAGCAAATTTTTGTGTTTTTAGTAGAGACAGGGTTTCACCATGTTGGTCAGGCTGATCTCAAACTCGTGACCTCAGGTGATGGACTTCGCTAATTTTTGTATTTTTTGTAGAGACAGGGTCTCACTATACTCCTTGTCCAGGCTGGTCTCAAACAGACTCCTGAGCTCAAGTCATCCTCCTTCCTTGGCCTCCCAAAGTGGTGGTATCACAGGTGTGAACCACTATGCTTGGCCCTGGATTGTTTTTTAATTTTTTGTAGCGATGTCTTGCTGTGTTGCCCAGGCTGGTCTCAAATCCCTGGCCTCAAGCAGTTCTACCTTGGGCCTCCCAAAGCACTGGAATTATAGGTGTGAGCCACCACACTGGGCCCTCCTCATTTTTAAGAATTCTGTTTTTGTCCCAGTGGATAGATAGTTAAGCCTTAGATGTTCACTGTATCAATGAATAAAAGCTTTAGAAATATAAACTTTTTGAACCATTTTGTAAGTTCTTAGTAGTTAAAAGAGAGGCCATGTTCCTAAAACATAAAAGGTATGCAAATGAATTGATGATACTTTTTGGCAAAAAGAATAAGAAATTGATTAAGAAAGAAGTACAAATCATGAAAATATTCTTGTTTATTTTTTGTATAATCTTATGGTATAGCTTGTACAGAATTAAAACGTAGATATTATTTAGGAGAACTAAATGAGTTATATCAGAATTTGGGGCATTTGAAAAGATATATTCAGGTTTGGGTTTTTTTTTTTAAATAATAGCTTTATTGAGACATAATTCGCATGCTGTATAACCAAATATTTTAAATCTATGTATTTATAGTTTTAATCCTTAAATTTACTTAACTTATTTAAAATAGTCTTTCATGGAAGTAAGCAGTAAACTTTAGTCTTCATTTTAAGAAATCAAGTTATTTTCTTGTTCTCTCCTAGACTCAATTTGATTGGCTTCATTTGGGAATGTGATATTGTGTTTATTAGTTTATTTCAAAATATATTTTGCTAAGTGGACTGTTTTAAGTTTCTTTAAAAATTTTAATTCAAATTCTTGAGCTAAACAATGAATTAAACTATAGGTTTTACAGCCAGAGGATCTTAACGTGTTAATAATTCTTTTTCACAGTTTCATAATATTGATATTTTGCTTTTAGTAATTATATATTAGTACTCTCTAGAAGTAACAGTACACTAATACCTCATAGCAGTTTTTAACATGTATAGATAATACACAGTCCTAAAGCACGTACAGTGGAAATCTTGGTTGAATATCTCTACTTGTTGGACCACTGTAGGTTTTTAAGTGCATAACTTAATGTGAAGTGATCCATTTAATAAACTTTTCTTTTGGAAGAGCTTTACTGTATAGTGCTTTGAATTCTATGCCCTGTCACTTAATAAATCTCAAGTATGTAACAAGTATTTTCTACA